TTAATAATATTAAAAAATAGTTTTATATTGAATTTAGGAATGTTGTTAATATTTTGAAGTTGCAAAAAATGGTTAGTGGTTTCAGTGAGAATAATATTTTTGCAGAATTTCCTTATTTATATAGGGATAAGGAGTTTATGACAAGAGAAAAATGTTAGAAAGTTGAAGGAATTAAGATTTAGTACAATAGGTTGTCAGTTTGTACCTCTTTTTGCTAAGAGATTAGCATTTTGATGAAAAGTATTTTTAGAGTAAGATTTAATTTTGTAAAGTGAAAACAAAATATTTTTGTTTTTAGTAAGATAGTTTATAATATATAGAATATTTTAGTTTTCATTTTAATTTGAGTATTTGAGATATTAGATAGTAATGATTTTTTTAAGGATTGAATAGCAGAGAGATTGTCTAAATGAATATAGATATTGAAATTGTTTGGAAGAATATAGAGTATATAGATAATAGGTTCAAGCTCTGCACATATAGTATTATATGTATTAGTTAAGTTTGCATTGAACTTAATACTTGTATCATTTTCTAAAATCCAACTAATACTAGTTTTTATGTGTGAAGAGAGAAGATTTTGTATAGAAGCATCTGTATAGAAATATAAATTATTTAGTGAGTTTATTTTGAGTATTTTGTGATATAGATTTATTAGTTCGAGTTAGTATAATAGTGTTTAAATTGAGTTAAAAATTTGTTCATATATTGAATTTTGAATATGAATTTGAGAAGTAATAGTAGAAGTTAGATAATATAGTAATAGATATAGTTAAGAGAGTACTAAGATTTCTTTGTAGTCAATAGCTATTCTATAATATCGTTTTTCTTTTTGACTTTTGCAAGTAAAGTTAATTGTAGATGAGGAGGAGATTTGAGTAGTTTAGTTATAAGGTAGAAGATTTATATATCCAATAGTATTAGGAGTAAAGATATAGTATTGGAAAATAAGATTATTTGAATTAATAGAAGTAATTTTTCCAATATTAGTTTGTGTTTGTGTTTTAAATATAGTTCAATTATTTTTGAATGAGGTAGTTAATGGAGTAGATATTAGTTTGAGTATATTGATAAATGGATTTATTTGTAAAGTTTGTATTTGAGGCCATAAGGATAGACAGAGTTGTTTTTTAAATTGTTACAAAGGTTATTGTACTATAAAGGTATTCTACCATGTGAAGTTTTATTTGTACGAAGATAATATTTTTTCATAATAAGAGATAAGAGTTGGTAGCTATGAGAACTTGTTCAAGAAAGAGAATATTATTGTTTTTAAGACTTTGAATTGTAGAAGTATTAGGGTTTGAAAGAAGAAAGTTGTAGATTAAATTAAGTTTAGAATTATTAAAGGGAGATGGTATATTAATATTAAGATTATTTATATTTATATTGAAATTAGAAATATGCAGAAAATATGTAATACAAGTAAAATTGTTAAGTTTTTGTTTGTATTGTTGAATTATTTCTTTGGAGATAGTAGGATACCAGATTTTACTTAGCCATCCTTTAACTCTATATTCAAAGATTTGTTTTAGGAGAAGTGATGAATTAACTCTTTTTTTGATAATATTACAACTTGTATAAGTTAGTAGTTTTTTAATAGTAGGGAGATTAAGAAGGAAAGGATTGGATAAAATATCATTATTGGTATTTCTAGAAAGATGTAGTATATGTTTAAATTGTGTTGTAATAGTAGTAAAAAGTTTAGTTATTTTTGAGTTAGTTAGAGGAACTATTTAAGAAGGTATTCTATTGTAGGAGCTAAAATAGTATTGAATAGTCTAGTTATTTGTAAAGGTAAGAGTTTTTTGAATTAGATAAGTTTAAGGAAATTGTTTATTTTTAAGGAGATTAGATCAATTATGGGTTTTGTTAAGCCTGTACTATCAAAGTAGATACCTAGATATCTGATTGTATCTGTAGATTTCCTTAGTATTAAGGGTATATTGTTAAAGTTTATTTGTAATAGTAGTTAAGTTGTAAAATTGGAATTTTTGGATTTTTTTGAGGTAATATATAAAAGATCAGATTTGGAAGAATTAATTTGTATATTATTTAATTGGTAGAGTTTATTAATATCAATAAGTAGTTGTTGTAGGGAAGAGAAAGTTTCATAGTGCCAGACTATATCATCTATAAATACTAGAGGAGGAATAGTAATAGGTAGAGAAATGATTTGAAAAGTTTGTTCAATAGGAGATATAGTTTGAATTTTGAGAAAGGAGTTTTGGTATTTGTTGTTTATATAAGTTAAAATTGGATCATAATATATTTTCCAAAGTATAAGTGAGTAGGTTTCTTCTTGTTCAATTCTAGAAAGAAGGTTTATTGGTTCTGTTAAACTATAAGCAGTAATAATACATGCTTTATGGTTTTGATAGAGATTAGTGATAAAGTTTGTACATTTTTGTAGCATTCCAATTCTTTTATAAGAGTTTACTAGTCAGTTAATATTGATTTTTTTTTTTTTTTGTTATTAAGGTGGCTTACATTGCCGAAGGAATTTTATTAGAATTGCATATGGGATATATATTGATAGTCCCTACTGTTTGTAATTACATGAAGAGTGTACAACAAGCTATACATACAACTTTAGTCATTGTCTAATTTAAGTAGTCCGCCGCACAGGTGATTAGACTACCCGATTGGTTCTACACTATGCTATCATACTTGTAACCCACCTGTGAGTTACTTATTTAAACACTCTGTTCATTAACCAATACAGATCCAAACCTAACGTCACTGCAACACCTAACTACTTAAGTCAGCTAGCTCGTTATGGATTCATTTACTCAAGTCAGCTTAGGTTCTCTCAGGATACACTATACCAGACGCATTGCTGGTATTGCAGAGCTAGTTAACCTCGAAGCAAACCTACTAGAGCGGCCTGTACCCATTTTATGGGATTACCTAGATTAGACCTTTGTAGATATTCATATAACCCCAGTTCCTACCGTGGCTCTCCACTAGTTTTCTGTATTCTATTTTCTTGGATATTTCACGAGGCAGATCCTCCCAATCCAGTTAGCTACCAAGCCAAGTTGGTGTTACTGATCCTCCCCATGGAATAGATTTATGTGCACCTGACTCGATCTGCATCTTTTGATTATAGTTTCCTTTCTAGATTAAGTGTTAGCCAGTATGACTGTTGAAAGCCATACTACTTCATCTACTTGGGATTTCTACCATGCAGGTCCCCTGCTCATAGATCCTATTAAGATTTATTCATGTAATATTACGTCTTGCCAAATGCCCTGTCACACTTCCAATATCTGGATAATATTGATGCAACATGATTTACAGAGTTACAACCCCAGAAACGGACAGGGTTTACTGTAAGTTGGATACAAAGGTTCGAGTAATTATTCAAATTCATCGATAGTGGGATTTGAACTCTAGACCTCTTGTATGATGGTCTGGCAATCTAACCACTACACTAAGATCGCTAGACCAACAAAATGTTTTATTATTTGTTTAAAAAAACAGAACTTAGATAAGAAAACTTTCAACTATTTTTTTTTTTTTTTTTTTTTTTTTTTTTTTAAGCAGAATTTATACAAGAATGTTTTTAAATCTGATTATGCGTATAGTATGTATATTATCTATTTGTACATAAAGTATATGCATAATTCGTAAAATTATTTAAAATAAAACAAATCAATATCACCAATACTGCAGTATTTTATAATACCTTTCAATTATACTAATATCAAAATTACTTGTGTAATGTCTATTAGATCTAATTATTACCATATTTAATGCATACTAGGTACGTACATATGTAATTGCTAATTACCTATCTTGTTAGTAATCTAGCTTTTAACGCAGAGACATGCTCTTGCTGTTTCAGAATGAAGGCAATTACGGGTTCTTGAGATTGTATTACTAGCTATTAAATAGGCTTGTTCACAAATGATACTCGTAGCTTGGATACTTAGATAATCACATGCGATTTTTAAAAGAATTGGATAAGATTTTTTGTTTGCTTTTCACTAGTCTAATGGGATTATATCTTCTTCAACTATTTCTAATGCAACATAACGATCTAATTCATTAGTAACTAATAGTTCTTTAAGAGCTTCGTCATCTATATAATTAGAAACTGAAGATTCTTCAGTTTTTAATTTGTTACGCAACTTCTAAAAAAACTTTCAGGCAGTTTTAATTGGATTTTCTGCAGTATTATTTAGTTCGGGTGAAGTTTGTTAATAAACATTTATATATTAGTTCATAATTTCTTGAACTTTTTTCTTAGCACTAATAGCTTCTGCTTTATCAAAAATTTTTAATTTGGCACGAGGATCAAGAACAGTAGATACAATAGAGGATTTGTCCATTATAACCCAGTATTCCTCTATTTTTTGATAGATTGATGTAGCAGCAGTTTTTTGAGAAAATTCACTTTGTTCCATATACGTACTTAAATGGTCTTGAATACCCAAGAATACTAAACGGATATCTCCCATAGTTGGATATGATGCTGCTGAAAGCAATTTCATTGCAGTTTCAATTGGCTTTAATAGAATAATTATATCCTAAAAATTAAAGTTAGTATTAAGTTAGATTTGTTTATAGTTATAAGCAGAGTCGACGATTTTCTACAATAAATTATTGCAGAAAATTATTGGAACTAGTTATAAATTAGAATCTTTTAAGGATTTATAAGTTGTTTTAAGAAATAGTGTAATGTGACAAAATATATCTCCAGTAAGTATAAAAATTATTTTTAAAATTCAAAGTTTTACTTACTTATAAGTTTTGCTGCTCATTAATATTGGGATATAACAAACGGATTGATGGATGGTCTACTACAAGTAAGTTAAGAGCTGCTTCTATTTTTTGTATTTTTTGTAACATGTAATATGTACTATTCCATCTTGTATCAATATCCAACTCAGGTTTAAGAAATAGAATTCCTTTAAGTTTACATAATTCACGTAAATCATTACAAAGACAAGTAGATACTCTAAGTTTTGACATTAAGTTTCTAACTTTTCCTACTAAAGAATCAACCATTTCTAATCCTTTTTTTGCAGCCAAGTTGAGTATATGTGCTACACAGCGATAGTGTGAAAATCTGATATTATCAAACTCATCTTGTAGTTCTTGTACAATTAACCTTCCATAAACAATTATTGCAGATTCATTATCAGTAGTAAGCGCTAAAGTTTTATCTTAAATGTTAAAACTAGCAAGAAGAGTATTAATGGCATCTGCTATATTTATACCTGTATGTCTCTCATTAAAAGGAATAATATCTAACAAAAAGTGACACATCTTCCAATTATCATCAATATAGTGAACTGTTATACCAAGAAAAGCTTCATAGTTTCGAGATATCCACATATCAGCAGTTAAAGAAATCTTTCCAGAGATTTTTGTGATATCATTAACTATTCTGCTTCACTGACTTTTGAATTTATTCATTATCATTATTTTTGCTGCTTGTCTTGTTGGTGTTCTATACTAAGGATTGATAAAGTTAATAAATTTATTAAAGTACTGATTTTCAACAATAGTAAAGGGTTATTGATCAGTAATAATCCAGGTAATTAATTTGTTGTCTCTTTTTTTTTGTTCTTTATTATTATATAGATCAGTTCTGGAAAATTGAAGAATGGTTTGACATCTTGCTAGTACATTAATTTTATGTTTATTAAGATATTTTCTTAAAGTTGAAACTCCTGTAGTTTTTGAAAAAACAGCATTACACTGTCAGCATACAGGTACTCTAAGGCGAGCAGTTGTGTTGGTATTAAAATGAGGCCAAATTGTTGAACCAAGTTTTTTTTTTTTTCTGTAATAGTTTTGAGATGATAAAGACAAACTAGTACTAGTTTCTTGAATGACTTGATTATCAGAGTCTGAAGTATAATCTTTGAATAGTTCATCAATATTATAAAAATTGTCTTCAGAATCAAGATCAGTGAAGTTATCGCTTTCTATTTTTTTTTTTTTTTGACAAGGAAAATAGTAACAATATAAACATTCTTTTATAAAGTTTAATTTTTGATTGGAGCTGACTTTATTATGATAAGTAATTTTTATCATTCCTTCTTTTGGACATTAATCACAACTAATGTATATTTTTTTCAAACTGTTTTATTCTAATGATTTTAATTTATAATCATGAATTTTTTTTACTTACATATCTGGCTGTTTCTTTATTTTTAGTATTTTTATAATCAAGTATTAGAGATCTCGAATTGGTTAATTAATGTGTGCAAATGTAGTCAATAAAGTTTAAAAAAAACTTTAATATAGTGCTACAATTAGTAAGATTTTAGTTACTAACTTGCATTATATATTATTTATTTTTATTATTTTTTAATAAGGTTTTATAATATTTGCAAGTTGGATCAGGTAGTGTTCTGAAACAAGTTTTTTTTTACAAAGGTCTTTTTCCTTATCAAAACCAATTACTTAAATAAGAAATTTGAGTTGTAAAGATTTAAACACAAATATTATAAGATAAATATATATACAGCGATTCTCAATATAACTATTTTTGGGGCAATTAAGAAGAACTTAATATCTACAATATTATTAGTTTATAATATCCATGGTATTAAGTAGAATTTATTATAGTGCAATCTAAACCTTGATCTGCTATATTACGATTTTACTTATTCTCTATCATAACAAGAATTCATTATATTAAAAGTCATGTATATATAAAACCCAACAAATAATTTAGCAATAGCAATGTCTTTATACAAAACAAATATACGATTTTGTTGATTTTCCTATCTATATCTCTGGTTTTATTCATGCTAATAGTTTTACTTTATTTAAATAAAAAAGATTGTATGATTGGTACAAGAAAATTCTAAATTTTGATCAAATCTTGAAATAGTGATATTTTGAGATTTTTACTTCATAAATAAGCTTTTTTTATTTACGATTGATTCTAGTAGTTACTATATTTTGCGATTATTCATATGAAAGATCAAATCAGAATAGTACTTAAATTTATATCTATAGTTCAATTTTGAAAATATACACCTTATTCAAGTTGTAAAAAATTAATTTAGCTTTGTAATACATAATAACCAATTCTGGTAATTACAATTACATGTCAAAAACCTGTATGTATAATTTTATTTTGTAAACTTAATGTTATTAAGGTTTTGCACAAACCTAATTCTGGTAAATCATTTCGATTAGAAAATTTTATAATTCAACTTTATTATATTCATGCTATTTATATATAGTTTACTTTAAAATTTGTTTTAAAAAAAAAACTAGTTTTTTTTCCTAGACCTTGACATTCTTTAAAAACTTGTTTTTATATTAAAATTCTACTAAAATTCAATTGGTGCTAAAATGTTTCATTTTTTTTTTTTGATCAGTTTTTTTCTAATTTGATTACAAACCTGATGCAATTGTTAAAGTATAATAAAATACAGAAGATCGCAGAATTAAAAATAACAATATTGTATCAAATATAATTAAATCATTATAGCAAAATATAAAAAAAAATCTGGTTCATAGTAAAGTCTCTAGATACTTGATATTTGTTATAGCTTAAAAGATTATGCCTTATACACTTCAAAAATAGTTGATAAAGGAAAACAAAACATCTTTCAAGAACAGAATGATCAAAAAAATTAAGAATAGCCTTAATTAGTTATTCTAACTTTCTATAAAATATATACGTACCAAGTTTTAAGACTAATGAGTTACTTGATCAGTATTTTATTTTTAAATAATATACTAAAGAAATATATCTGTTAATTTTAAACCTATAGCCTAATTCTTTACTAACTAGTTTTTAAAATTTGAAGTTTCGTATGAGGTCATATACTTTGCATATTCTAAGAGATTTCAGTATATTGTATTAATACGTACTTAGTATTAAAATAGCTTACTACACTCAGACTGATTTTATTTAACTGGTTTTAATTCATAGACCAAAAACTACTTGAACTGGTTTAAAGGACTCAGTTAGACTGTAGTCCTTGCTGGACCATAATATCCCTATATACAGGTCTAGATATTATTCAAATTCATTAATAGTAGGATTTGAACTCCAGACCTATTGTATAGCAATCCAACAACCTGATCACTATACTAGGTTACTGGATCTTAAAAATAGAATTTGTAAAGGTAGAATTAGTAAAAAACTAGATATAAATATAATAGAAGGTGGAATAGAAAAACTAGACTTATGAGCAATATGATGAGAAGAAATCTAATATTCCTTATATATAAGTTTAACTAAAAGATGATAAAAAATAGGAGAATATTTTTGTCTATTAGCTATTTTTTCAAATAGAGCTAAAGTTTCTTCAAAAATAACTTCTAGTGATACCTGTTGAATAATATAGATGTTCTTAAAGTTTGTAATAAAGTTAGATATATTTGAAGTTAGAAGGTCAAAGTCATCTCATAGTATGTGGAGAATATTATAAATAGCAGAATTTAATAAAAAAAAATTACATATATAAGTTAATAAATATACTATTGTTTTTGAACTTAAGTAGTATCAAGTACAAAGATAGTTGTTATAATATATTAGATTTTATTGATAAAGAGTGAGAGCAGTTAGAAGTTTATCAGCAATAAGTTTTATTTTAAAATTCTTTAGAGCTGAGATGCTAGGATTTATGCACAATGATAATAGTTTTTCACTATAAGAAAAATATGCAAAGATTATTGCCTATTAAACTAAAAGATTTGAGTTTTTCTATAGTTGAATATAGTTTTAGTTTAGCTAAGTTAATCTGCAATAGGTTTTTGTTATTTCTTTGAAGATTGTTTTGATATTGTAGATACAAGGTGTTAATAGAAGACAAGGTACAAATTAAAATGTATGTTTCTAATGTGCACTGTTGTTACTAGGACTATTTGTTAATAGTTAGGCATCTAGTGTGATATTACACTCTCATTTTCTATTTGCTAGCTGATTTAAACAAAGTTACTATCGACTATAGAGAAGGTTAAGGGAGACTTCTAGGAAAAAGAGAAGATTAATTAGAAAAAACAATTATATATAGAAAAGTTTTAGAGTAAACATTTTTGAATATAAATATCTATATTAGTATTATAGGTTATGGTAGTGGTTTGGTTAGATATAGATTGAGGAAAGTGTATTTGGTTTGTATTTTTTTTAATTTTTTAAGTGATACCACGAGCGGTTTCCTATTCATGATGAATTTGGTTTCTGTTATTTCAGATTTTATCATTGAATCAGAAAAGTAAAGAGTTCGAGAGCTTGATGAAGAAGTTGTTAGTTGTTTTTTTGATTATGGAGTTTATTTGGTTGTAGTGAGATGTTTGGATAATGCCTTGAATAAGGAGTAGAAAAGTATTTGTTAGATTTTGAGAGTTGTTATTGTGGATAAGTATTTGTAGGATAGTTTGAGGAGAAATGTTATTTAAATTTAGTGTATTTAGAGTATTTGTTATTTGGTTGAGTAGGATTTGATATAAGTTAGTTTTGTGAAGTATGCAAGAAAGTATATGTTTAGTATCCTCATATTGGTTGCAAAATGTGCAATTTGGTGTGAGATATAAGTTAGGATAGCGAGTGTTTAAGTTTGCCATTGTTAGTAGGTTATTTAGTATGATTTTGTTTCTGAGAGAATAGAATTTGTAGTTGTCATTTTGTGAATTGATTATGTTAGTGAGTTGAAGAATATTGAAGGGTTGTAGATTGCAAAATGTTTTAAGTTGGATAAGCTTATTAAATGTTTGAATTGAGAAAATATTTGTACAAAATTTGTGTATTTTGAGTAGTAGGAGAATTTGGTTCCATGCGAAGGAAAGGAGTAGATGAAATAGTTGGGTATTAAGTTGAATTTCTATTTTGTTGGTACCTTGTTTAGCTAATGAGTTAGCGATATTGTAAAAAGAATTTTTTGAGTGCGATTTAGTTTTATGAGTAGTAAATTAGATATTTTTCTTTTGAATAAGGTAATTTAAGATGTGGATAATATTCCAGTTGTTTATTTTGGTTTGTGTTAAATAGTTGTAGGGTAAGTTGTTTTTTAGTATATGGATTACTGAGAGGTTATCTAAATTTATGTGAATTTTGAGGTTTGATGGTAGTGTTAAGAAGAGGTAGATAATTGTTGATAGTTCAGCTCTTGTAGAATTTGGAGTATGAGATATCGATGTATTGAATTTTATTTTGGTATTGTTTTGAAGTATCCATGTGATACCAGTTTTGATATTTGATGTTTGTGAGTATTTGATTGATGCATCTGTGTAGAAGTGAAGAGTTTCTGAATTTAGTAGAAGAATTTGGTTATGAAGGTTTATGAGTTGGTTTTGGTAAATTATTTTAGTAATTGTGTTTTGAATTAGAGAAATGTCAGGTGAGGAGATGATTAAATTAGGCAAAGTAGGAGTTGGAGGGTTAGTTAATATGAGGTAGATTTTTTGTAAGGCTTGTAATTCTTGTTGGTTAATAGAGAGTTTGAATTGGTTTTTTTCTTTTTGCGTTTTGCACTTTATGTTAATTATTTGATTGTAGTTAATTTGTGTTATAGTGGGTGTAGGTAAGATATGAATTGAATTTGAGTTAGAGAGAGTGAGTTGGAAGTTTTGGAATATTGTTTGGGTTGTTGAGTAGTTGATTATTTTACTAATTTTGAGTTCGTTGTGAGAGACATAGAGAGACCAATGGTTTTTGTTTAGGTTTTGTAAGGTAATTAGGTTTAGAGTATTTAGGAAGGGATTTATTAAATTGAGTTTGATATTAGGCCAGATTTCTAGTATAGATAATAATGTTATTTGGTCTGCTAATTGTTTATACCATTTAGGAGTTAGACCGCGAAGTGATTTGTAGGTTCTAAGATATATGTTTTTCCATGGAAGAAGGAATTGGTTGTCTGCAGTAAAAAGTTGTTTCAGGAATAGAATTTGTTATTTCTAAGACTTAGAGTCATTATAACATTAGAATTTGGAAGGAAGTTGTATATGGAGTTGAGTTGATACATTTGGTTTAGATTTTGTAAGTCATTGAAAGAAAGGTTGTTAAGTGATATATCATTTTTATATAATGGAATTAGTTGGTTAATAATTGTAAAGTTTAATGTTT